AAATGTCTGCTTTCAGGGATATTTCAGACATCTCATATCTCCTATATTGCTCTAAACATGCTGTCACAAGCTAATTGCCCAACGTGTCTGAGTAACATGATAAATATGAGTGATATCAGATTTTTATATAGGATCTTAATGCACTTAACAATCTTCCCAATGTGCTTGCAGGATAAGTATTATTTGCAGAAAGGAAACATAGCCACAGAAAAGATTCAGCATTTATTCGAGGTCACATGCTGGGGGCAGTATCATTATACTATATTTATTATACTATATAATATTACTATATTATATTTATTATCTATCAATAATTTCAGTTCATTATTTCCCAGCAGTTGACTCAGTAAGCAATTTACTTGACAGTGAAAGTGTGTGGTAGGGAGGAATAGGAGCACTATCTAAATATCTGAAGTCAGGAGAAAGAAGGAAATTGGTCAGGATGGTCCCAAGAGATGCAAAGTGGGATTATTGTGATTAGTCTCACCTGAAAATTAGTGGGAACTTGAGTAATTTAAAACTAGACTGGACAATAAATTGTAGGGAGCGTCTTGCACTGGCATAATTGGGGTGGAAAAGGTGACATAATTGAGACTTTTCCATCTTTAATTTCTAACAGGCTATGATTGCTAATGCCATTATAGATTGGCCTACACTCTCATGAGGAAAAAAGCATCCGATACTATCAACAACAAAACCCATACAACAAAATGAATGTCTACCCTCCATTAGTACTGATAATATTGTATCAAACCATTCTGTGAAATACGGCCAAAAGCATAAATAAAGAAGGAAGATGGGGAATTACATTTTGGCTATTGGCTTTATTGTATATTTTAGATGTTATTACATTTGATAAGATATTGTATAGCATTTACATCATTTGAGAATGCAGTGTTAAGGCTATCCCAGCCTTGAAGTTCAAGCTGATTTCACCTGCCATTATGTTCAGCCTGAATGTGTTTTATTTTTATTTTATTTTATATATGTTTGAGTCAACTTTAGTGCTCATGTAAGTTTCCTTAGAACTGGCTTGAGCCAGGCTTAGAATCTGAGCAAATACTATGCAAGTTTCCCTACGCTTCTTCAGAGCTACATAACTTCCACCTAATCCAATCTTGGGCAGAGATTGCCAGACTGCATGGTAGTTTAGAAATGTTCACTGAATGGTGGGTGGCCTTCAGCAAAACTGGGGCTTAAGTAATGGCATAAATGATACGACTTATGCTTAGTACTTTGCTGGTTCTGGACTCTAATGCTACATCTATGCAGTTTCCCTCTTCCGCCAAAGCCTATGCAAATGAAGCACAGATTAGCATATTGCCATGCTTCATTTGCATAAGTAATTAGGAGCCCTTTTTGTGCAAGAGGTTATTGCGCAAAAACCCCCTCTTGCACAAGACCATTTCTTCCTGAAAAAATGAGGAAGAACGCAAGGGGGGGGGGGGTTGTTGTGTAGACGGCACCTCTTTGCGCTCATGCAAGTCTCTGAGCCTCTGGGCTCCACTGCAGAGCTGGAGCATGAGCACCAATAGGCCCCACTGTGCGGGGAACCCCAAGCTTTTTTTTCCTGCTTCTCAGTTGAGAGCAAGGCCAGAGAGGTTTGTTTGGGGTGTTTTGTTTTGGGGGTTTGTTTGCTTCTCGCATGGGGGCTGGGTCTGTGAGGGCTATTTTTTTGCTTCTCACTTGTGTGTGGCCCCTAACTAATTTTTTTCTGGGTCAGTGCCCCCCAATCAAAGAAAGCCCTTCCCCCCAATCTAGTTGTGCATGGCCATGAGGCGTTTGATGGCCTGTTATTGGCCCTGCCACTGATTTGTTTGACTTGGGACAAGACCTTTAGGCCAAGATGCTCAAAGCATCTAACTCCCATTTAACACAGGCTGAAAAGTCCATGGCATTTTTAGAGAAAGGTAGCAGTGTGATAGGCCTTAGAGCCAGTGCTATATATCCTCTAGCTACTCTTTTGCTTGGTTCTTTTCTCCATATACATTATTTAAATACTGGTTTATAGTGAATGGTGTGGAAAAATAGAATAAGGAAGAGCTATTTGCTCCTTTACTAACCATCATCCAATTAAATGTATAGGCAGCAGATTTAAAACAAATTATTTCTTCACAGTAAACCTATGGAACTCTTCGCCAGGAGATGGTGGAAAGGCCCAGACTACAACAGGGTTTCAATAAGAACAAATAAGTTCAAGGAGAGTAAGTCCATCAATGGCTACTGTCCAGGAATGGTGTCCCTAGCTTCTGTTTGCCAGAAGCTGGGAATGGGAGACAGAGGATGAATCATTTGATGATTGACTCTTCTGTTGATGCCTTCTGAAGTACCTGACATTGGCCACTGTCGGAAGACAGGATACTGGGCTAGATGGACCATTGGTCTGACCCAGTATGGCCATTCTGATCTTATATAGAACCCAAATGTATCTGCACTCCTGGTGTAACCTAGTAAGCGCCTCTCCACTTCCAAAGCTGAGACAGAATCCAGGAGTCCTGACAGTCTCTCTCTCTCTCTCTCTCTCTCTCTCTCTCTCATTCTCTCCTGTTAGTAACAAAGTAAGAATATAGATTACAATTTTAAGGCTAACCAGTGTCCCATAAGTGACTTGCTGCAAGATATTCGAATGTTAATATTAGAACCAAGTGGGTCTAATATTTATTTATTTAAATTGTATTTCTTTTATATAGGAATTAGATCCAGTTTTCCTGTCAGCTAATTGCTATGCTATCTGCCAAAAAAAAAAAACCACCCTAGATTTTTTTCAGTGCCTTAGTAGCCTTAGAAAGAGGTGATGTGTGGGGGGGGGGGG